GGTGAGATAATGTCGAAAATCAAGCGGGGTTTCCGCTTATTGGCGCTGCTCGTCGTGATAAGCCTTATCGCGTTCGCTTCAGGTAAAAAGAAAAGAAATATCAGATAGCAAACATGTAGACTGGAGTAGATTATATGAACAAGGTGGGGCATGTGGCACACAACACACTAGTATAATTTTAATTAAATTCGTTAATCATGTGTAATTCTTTTGTTTTTGGTGTTTTTCGTTTTTTAGTTTAATGTTGAATTAGCTGATATTTTAGTTTTGTTAAAATTAAATATTTAGGGTTTTATGCAGGTGTATTGTATTGTTTAAGTTTAGTTAGGTTAGATTAAAGTTATTACTCTTTGTGAGTTCTGAAGATTATTATTCATATTAAAAATGATTAATATAATCTTTATCTTTATTGAATACATGATTGATATACATATGCTTTTTGTTATACATGTTTCGCATGGTAGGCAACTTTAATAACAGTTACATGTATAACGAAAAACAGAGGTGATTCAATCACATAGTAGATATTTATGACATAATTGACATATGGCATGACATATGACATAAGGTTATGTTTTGACATCAACTGTCAAAATTGCAATTTTGACACTAATTCAGTTGGTATTCCTGGCATCCATTACTAATCGCACTATTTTGTTTAATTATCAGTTCCAGCAATATTGTATTTGCCTAACAGTAGAAAAAGTTAGTAATAATACCCGTATTTTTTTAACTTACAATTAAATTTACATTAATCATTAACCACAAATATTCCATTATTCCATTCAGGACAAAGCAACTTCATCGAAGACGAGAACGACACGCGACTCAAAGTGGCTTGGTGTACAGTCGGACGCGAAGAACAACGAAAATGCATCCACTTTGCACAAGCAATCGAAAGAGACATTATCCGCGTTGGTTACGACGAATTCCGCCTGGATTGTTACCAGGCGTTCAATAAAGCTGAATGCATGCAGTTGATTGACTCTGAGAAGGTGACCTTCACGTCATTGGACGCTGGCGAAGTTTTCATGGGCGGACGCTATCACAGCTTGATTCCCATCGCGCAAGAAATCGCAGCGGGAGGTTTACAGCATAATTATGCCGTTGCTGTTATCAAGAAAAACACGATGAAAGATGTCACATCGTTGAGGGATCTACGCAATAAGAAGGCGTGTTTTGCTGGGGTTGGCACACTTGCCGGATGGACATTACCTATTTATACAGTGAGTTTTTATTAAAATGACACTAGAACGCCATCTGTCGGTGTTTACATTAATTTAAGGTTATAATGTCAATTATTGTATGTAAATTTGTGTTTTTAGTTAATGAAACAAGGTGGTATGGAAATTACGGATTGTAACAACCATGTTAAGACAGCAACGGAGTTTTTTGGTCCATCATGTGCAGTAAATGCGCTCACGGATAAGTTTAACCCGATTGGTGACAATTCCGATAAACTATGCGCTCTGTGCATTGGTAAAGTCCCCGGGGGTAAATGTACCGATACAGATCCCTATGCAGGCTTTGAAGGTGCATTCAGATGTCTATTGGAAGCTGGAGATGTCGCTTTTCTCAAGGATTACACCGTTCAAGAGTTAACCGGTGGTGATGAGTTTAGTAAGTAGGCAACCCAACATACACCGCAGTATATTTAATTTTTGTTATATGTTTAGCTGCTGTGTCAAAAGACGCATTTGAATTACTCTGCAAAGATGGAACTCGACGCTCCATCGACGATTATCGCGCTTGTAATTGGGGCACAGTACCAACCAACGCCATTGTTACTACATCAGTGACGTCGATTGAAATGCGGCGTAAATATCAAAAGTTCTTGGATAAAGTCGCTGAACGCTATGGGCCGCTTGCAAACGGTACAATTGATCAACCTCACGATCAAAACCGGGATAGAGATATCTACAACGATGAGCGACCGGAGTTTGACCAGTTGGGTAATCGCATCAGGTATAAACGACAACAATACGGTGATTATAATCGAGGTAGTTATAATCCGTATGGTGACAATCGTGACAATGACGAGAACACCCGACCTGCCAGTCGGTATGGCAATCGGAATGCGAATCCCTACAATACCGGCGGCCAAGATGGCAACCGCAATGACGATAGAGATAGGGATTTGAATCGTGATGGTAATCGAGATGATCCAAACCGAGATGGATTTGACAGAGACAGAAGTCGCAATCCGTTCGATCGTGATCCATACCAGATCAACCGTGGACAATATGGAATTAATATTGATCCGTACGATGATGGGACGAATTACAATCGTGA